CGGCCCACCCGTTTGAACTAATAAAGTGCCAGGGGCCTAAGTGGTCACCTCAATATTAAAAAAAAAAATATATATATGCACTAGTAGATAAAAAGGACAAATCTGTTGAAAACTGGTTAACTTTGATTTATGAGTCCTCATTAGAAAGCTCAGATGATAATACAAGCATTAGTAGTAGCGATAAAGACAGTATACCATCAGGTGGAAACAGGAAACAATAGCAGTATGCGCATTGAAGTATACATAGTTGAGGTCGAGGCCAAGGTCACAAATGTAGAAAGAGGCGTGGTATTTAGAATATTCTTATGTATATATACTATATATCTGTTTAGAGTTCATATTATTCTACCGACAATCGCTTCAAAGACACCACTGTCGTGGATTAATTAGTACTTCGCACTGAAAATCCAACTCAAATGATAGATGCAAAACGACTTTCGGTCAAACCAATATCAAGTTTATAAATAAGAGTAAGTAATTTACTTATTTATTTGATCGATTTAGTTCAAGAAAAAGACAATAATTGAAATTTTATTATTTTCGCCTTGCTAATATTTTCATATTTTAACTACTTATTATTACCTCTTAAATTGATTACACACATAATCGTTACCTTACTTCAGTATATTTTATCATACTACCAACTTCTTACATAATGCCTTAATTATTAAATTAATTAATATTAAATTACCCTTTTTTCAGGTGATTTTGTCCTGATCGATTATAATGTGATGATAGATCGATTCGAACGTTCCTTAACCGGAGACAAAGAAGATAAAGTATTAACCATCTACACTTTTTTTTTTTAAACTAACTATATAACATTTCAGAATTCTAATCTCTTTGACCAAGTATATTTTATACCACCAACACTCATTTTACTAACAAGCTTTTCGTAGACAGTATATTTCACTGATAGTTCTATGAAATGAACTTGTCTGTAAATTAATTGTCTGTAAAATAAGTTTGTTAGTGAAATATGGTGTTCTTGAAGTGATTGTCGATGAATTGATCAGAATCTATCTGTTTATTCTATCTCAAATAAAATATAACTAAGCACTTTTTCATTGTTAGAACGTAAAACAAAACCTACTAC